CTTTTCATTTTAATGCAACTTTTGCATTTTTTCAAAAAAAAAAAAAAATGAGTAACATTCTCAAGCCTGATGAGCTATTTATAAACTAAAAAAAAGCACTTTTACATTTCTTATGGTTCCTCCCTTATTGTTCATCACACTTTTATGAGTTAATATCATTTTAAGTTAATAGACACAACGATGATATATCTTTACTTTTAAGAGTCATATCCCATCTAACTTTAAAATAAAAGATTTGAATCATTTAAATTATTTCCTTTCTCCTTACATCTCTTTTACCACTTTTGATTATTTTGTCACATAAATCAAGTGTCTTTTATCTTCATGCTTGTACAAGTAGCATCAATTGAAGGCAACCTCCACTCCCATAAACCCACAAGATCATCTCTTGTCCACTTATAGGATGTTGGCCTTAACAATTAGTTGTGGGATTGATATATGTAATTATTACTGGTCTTGCATTATCTATGCAGTATATTATACTAATTGCTTTCTACATTGTCCTCACATTCTAAATTATGTTATATGAGGTATATTGCATTGTGGTCTTCATTATTTTCCCGATATCCACTTATTATTGATGTTCACTCTTACATTAAAAGGTTGGTGACCCTATTGGCTACAAATTGATCACTTGGTTCTCTATCTCTGAGGAACATCCTTAATTTCTCAATGGGGTCAAAAGTAATTAATGGTTGCTCCTTTTAATGCAAAAGTTGAACATAATACTCATACTAACATAACAATATCAATTATTTTTAGTTTTAGGTTTCGTTTGAGACGGTTTTCTACTTTCTTTCTAAAGCAACTTTCTAGTAAAAAAAGTTATTGAATTTGAAAATTTTGTACTAAAAACCCGTTTAAAAAAAATAATACAAAAGTTGCCCCAAATAAAGCCTTAATTAATGATTACTCTATATATGAGCATAAGTTATGAAAGCTTATTCATAATAATCATAATGTGATTGTCATTGCTCAAAATGATATTATTACAAATCATTGAGGTTGATTTCACTTGATTTATGACGAGGTTTTACCATTCATCTTCAACCTTTCCACATATCTCATCACGAAAGCAAAAAATATATATATTCATCTATTCTCATCCTTCAAAATAATTTGAATAATTATATTTGAAATTTAAGTTGATCTTTTATTCCTCTTTTAAGTTTGTGGATATATATATAATCAAAAAATTAAATATATATAGGAATTATTCTTATTCATTATTATTATTATTGATGATATTCTCTTTAGTTATATTTGGCTTTCATTTATCTCTCATTGTGCTTGTTGCGTCCTGGAAAATTCGCGGCGGTAGAGAAATATAAAGATTAATGCCTTAGCTTTGTACGAAGATCCAGAACACAAGCAGATGAAAGAGATGAGGGTGCAGCGTTCATAAAAGACACCAGAGTTTTTACGTGGAAACCCCTAAAAGGGGGGAAAAACCATGGGGGCTTGGCCCATCTTGAATGAATC